CACTCTGCTCCCGACCTGGTCCGGAGGCCTGGCAACCGCGCCAGCCCCCTTGCTGGCCTCAAGCCCCTCTGAGTGGCCTCTGTGGGCAGGGGAGGGGCCAGCCAGGCAGGGCCTTGGGACAGCCGGAGTCGGGCCGCCACGAGGCCACCACCGCCCACCTGTGGCCTGGCCCGCAGGGGTTAATGGGCCCAGCCGCCCCAGGGACACGTCGGAACCCCAGCCCCCGCCCGACTCCCCGGCTGGTTTCTTCGGAGACTTGGCTGTCAGAGCTGTCTCCGGGCAGAGCCAGCTGGTGCGGTCCCTGGGGCCCGGTGCCAAGGACGCCGGCAGCGGCACCAGGGCGGCGGGCCCGGGAGGGGCTGGTTCTGGTCTGAAAGCTGCTCACCGCCCAGAGTAGGTCTGCCAGGGCCCGGGGTCAGCCTGCTAGGGTGAGACATGCCCCTCGGTCCAGGCCCTGCTCCCCGCTCAGACCACGTGGGGACGGGAGGAGGAGGGAGAGGAATGTCGGGCCCCAGCCCAGAGGAAGCAGCATCAGCACGGGAGGTGTGCGAAGACGCCGGCTCTGCCCACGGCATGGACCCGCATCTGTGACCGCGGAGGATAGGCCACCCTTTAGCCAGTGGGCGCAGTGGGGCTCTCTGGGTCCCCTGCTCTGCAAGAGAGAGCCTACCACCTGGGGCCGCCGTAGCCTGCACATCTCTCCCAGCACAGCCTGGCCAGGCACCACCTGGGCCCTCACGCCGACCCCACCCCCAGTGCACACCCGAAGCCCATTCCCCTCCAGATGCCGCCTGAGTCCCATCCCCGTTTCCTCTACACTGCACAGCGTCTGGAACCTAGGTGCAAAGGAGGGGATACAAGACTCTGCTGGGCCCGTGAAACCTCCCCTGCCCCTGGCTGGGACCAAGTCCAAAGGGCCTGTCCGGGTTGCCAACTCAGGGGGGTCATGTCCCGCGTGCCCATGCCTCTGAGCCTTGTGCCCCAAAGTCCACTGTCCACCAGGTCTGGGAAGGCCCAGACCTCTCCTTAGTGACCGGCACCCCCAGAGGTGGTGGAGGGCTTCCCCGGTCGAGCTCTCGGGCACAGCCTCATGCCTCTCCGCCTGGCTGTCCCAGAGCCGGCAGCCGGGAGGGAGAGACCAGCCGCTGGGAGGAGCAGAGCTCCACAGGCTCAAGGGAAGGCGGCAGTACGGGGGACCCGGTGGCCAGGAGGGCCCCACTGGTCCTGCACTCCGCCTCCTTCCAAGCGGCTGGGCCTTCCAGCGGCAGGATGGGATGGCTGACAGGGCCTACGGCTTCTTCCTGCTCAGCCAGAGGAGTCCCAGCGTTGGGCACCCACCTCGGGCCGGGTAACTGCGGGTGCCAGCGCCTCGGGGCATCCAGGAGCGCGTTTCCTCTCTGCGCACCTCCTAACACAGCGGCTACCCGTCTGGGGGCTGAGCACCTGCCCAGCCTCCCACCCTCAGGAGAGCACAAGGTACTGGCCAGGGCAAGACGGGGGCCCTGGGGTCTTGGCCTCAGTTTGGTGGCAGTAAGCAGAGAGTGAGGCTGCCAGGATAAGTGGGGCCCTGGGGTGTAGACCACAGGGCGGGTGCAGGCCACATTCCCGGCCACATTTCCAGCCACACCAAGAACAGGCCTGGAGAGAGGTGCGGAGCCCTGCTGGGCATCAGGTCCCAGCCAGGCCCAGTGGGGAAGGAAGGAGAGGACCTGGGGTGGAGGGCGCTCAGGACTCCGGTAGCAGGCTCAGGAGGGCTGGTGCACTCCCGCGGGCACAGATGCGTCTGCGTGACCACTCACTCCTGTGACAGCCGCCTCCCCTGGGCCCACAGCATCCCGTGAGCCTCCGAGGCCCCAGGTCAAGCCCGCCCCTCAAGGTTCTGGGGGGCCTCCCGCGTCCCCATCTCCTCCGACTGGGCTCTAAGCAGGCTCAGAACAGCCTTCTGCCTCCTGGCCCCGCAGATGACCCTCTTCCCACCGTCGGTCTCTCCGGACCACATCCCGGGTCCTGGGCCTGTGCTCTGGCTTACGAGCTCTGTCCACTGCAGGGCTCAGGGTGGCCGTCTGCATCTTCGTCAGGGACGGCGTCGTTTCTGGAAGTCCGCATGTTCTGTCTCAGATCTACTCGGTGTTTTTCTTTTTTCTTTTCTTTTAATGCTGAGAGAGTATTTGTTTCCCTGTGCTCCCAGGAGTCTGGCCCCTAAGCTCAGATACCAGCAAGGAGCCTTGGCCCTCCCGGCCGTGGCTGCTAGAGCAGTGGAGCCCGGGGACCAGGGCAGGGATGCCCCGGAGCCGGCAACCACCAAGAGCAGCAAAAGGGTAGGAGACAGGAAGCGGGCACACACCCCGATCCCAGAGACGCCGCAGCTGGGGTCCCACCACCAGGCTGAAGGGTGGCCTAGCTGACGTGCGCACTGGTGGGAGACGGGGAGGTCCAGTCCGCCCCAGTGCCCACTGACCCGTTGGGGGAGGGGCCCAGGCCTTGCCTGCTTGTGAGGCCAGGTGGCCCGGGGACAGCCAACAGTCAGTCTGCGTGCGTCCTACAGGGAGGGTTTCCAAACTTCGGCACCGGTGCCTGCTTCCCTGGCCGCCGGCCCCTCAGAGGCTGGTGTGGAAGGCTCTGCGTGTGAGGGGCCAGGCCAGCGGCAGCCAGCTAGGAGCTGAGGTGGGGGGCTAGGTCCCGGCCCAGGCTCCAGTCTTGGCACAAGTGCCCATGGTCCTGCACTGACAGCAGGCAGGGCAGGGACAGGTCCAGCGGCCACAGCCCAAGCGTCTTCTGGCGCAGCACGGCTAGCGCCCCGTGGAGATCGTTGGCACAGTGCAGTCTGGGGGGCCAGTGACGCGCTCTGCCCACAGCAAAGCACGGCCCTTGGGGGTGTGGAAGGTGCCGCTCACCGGGCAGGTGGCTGGCTGTAGATGCGCACCAGCTCCCGCCAGGAGCCGTCTGAGGCCACGGGGTGGCGTTGGGACCCAGCGCCTCGGTGGAGGGTGGCCCACTCATGGCCCTGCCAGCGCACACGGCGATGCTGGCTGTTTGCCTTCAACACTCCACCCGCAGGCCCAGGCCGAGCTTCGTTCCTTTCTCGACTCTGGGAGCACGTGTGGCTCCTGCCTGGGCCGACCGTGGCTGCACCTGGCGCGCCGGGTGGGCTCCTTCCGATGGCTCTGCTCGCAGTGCTGGGTTTGCTCCGAGGGGCCTGCTCCCTGACCTTGAAATGTGACTTCTGATGCATTTAGAGATCTAGAACAGAAGCCACTCACACTGACTGACCAGGCACCGAGGGGCCTGAGTTCCATGTCTGCAGGGGTCGGGCCAAAACCAAGCCTTCTCAGAGGCAGATGTCCCACCGGCTCATCCCACCTGATCCGAGCCCCTGGAGGTAAGTGGGATGAGGGCTTGCCACTGCCCTGTCCCCGTCCGGAGGGCAGGGTCTCCTGCAGACCTGGCCTCGCACACGGCACGGGAGCAGACGGGCCAACTGGGTCTTTGAGAGACGGCTCCTCACGTGGCCCCTGGGGAACCGGTGACCGGACGGCTGTGGGACCCGTCCCCGTGCAGCAGGAAACACGCAGCCCCTCACAGCCCACTCCCGGGCCATCCGCAGTCGTGTCCTCCCGCTGCTGACCAACACAGGGTCTTGGCTCTGCCCCTCGGCTTGTGTCCACCCACTCCCTCGAGGGAGAGCAAACAGCGCGAGCTCAGTGCACGGTGGCATCTGGGTGGGTCTCCCACGGCCCGCCGCCACGCCACCGGCCAGCCACACTGACCCAGACCGACTGCAGCTGCCAGCCTCGTGTTTTCGTTCTCTCAAGGCTTGACTTGGGAATTTCCTAAAACTTTAAGAGCTTTTAATGGATAAGCAACTTTAAAGGGTTTTATAAAGTTTTTTTTTTTCTCAGCAGTTTTAGTGGGGACTGCAGAGACCTCCTTCCCCCCGCTTCCCGGAAAGCTTCCCCCAAGCACGTGTCAACCACACAGGACAGCGACATGTTCACGGCCTCAGGCGCCCAGGGGAACCATCTCCCTACCTGTGGCCACCACGGCCACGTGGCCCGACACGCGACCCGGCTCTCCACCCTGCCCACCTCCAGATAACAAGGAACAGCACCAAAGAGAACAAGGAAGGCGAAAACATTTAAGTTATTAAATCAAATATACAGAGTGATTCATTTAATATGTACATATTTACAAAAACGCACTTTCGCGAGGAGGGGGCCGGGGCCGGCAGGTGGGCCGCGGCCTGGAGCCCACGGACGCTGACAGTTGCGAGGGGAGGGTCTGTGTGAAGGCACTTGTCGCGAGCTTCGATTCTGCCCCCGGCCCGGGGAGAACAGAGCAGTCGGGAAGGGCACTTCCGGAAACACAGTTGAAAGATCTCTACGGCCCCGGGCGGAAGCGGGCCCGGACGGCGGGCGGAAGGGGCCGGCCAGCAAGCGGGCCGGCGTCTGCCCGTGGGCCCCTGCGAGGACCTCAAGCCCCACTGACCACCGCAGGTGCCACCGACAGCCACTGGCCGTGCCACACCCCACAGGTCCCACTGACAGCCTCGGGCCACACCAACGACCACAGGCCACACTGTCAACCACCGGTCCCACCAACACCACGGGCCACACCAGTAGCCTTGGGTTGTCCCACCAGACGCCACGGACCACACTGACAGCCACCGGTCCCACCGATGCCACCGGCCACACCAACGACCACAGGCCACTCCGTCAGCCACGGGTCCCACCAACGCCACGGGCCACGCCAACAGCCAAGGGTCCCACTGGCTCTTTGGCCTGGAGCCACTGAGGACACCAAATGAGGAATAATAAGGAAGATTCTGTAAACAGTGCACCACCACTGGTAACAGACAACCTGGTGGGGACACAGACACCCTCTGCTCTCTCCTGCCACACAGCGCGTGCGACACACAGAAACGTTACAAAAATAGCAAGTATCCGAGAATACTCCATTGTTCTCCGCCCGACAGTCATCGAATAATTTATACAAGGTTAAAGAAACGTAGAAAATAAACATTTGTTTTTGGTTTTTGGTGGTTTTTTACACAAAATAAAGAAACTATGCACACGGCCTCGGCCTCCTACGGCTGCGGTGGTCCTGGGCCCCGGCCCCACCGCGGGCCGCCCTACTCCTTGGCGGCGCGGCGCGAGTCACTGGTGGCCCTGACCGCACGGTTGTCCACTTTGGGGCCTGAGGCCCAGGAGGCCGGCCTCGCAGGAGAGCAGCTGGGGTCTTTGGTGAATTTGTGCGAGAGGAACTTCTCGGCCTCCAAGCAGTCTCCCTCGCCGCGGCCGGGCTCCTCGTCCTCCTCCCCGCCGTCCCCACGGCCCGTGGGCCCGGGCAGCGCCTCACCCGCCCTGCGCGGCGGGGGCGTGACGTTCTTGCACGGGTAAAGCACGTCTTTGTGGCCCCCACACAGGCCGTCACCGCCCAGCCGCTCGATGGGGTTGCGGATGGGGTTGAGGGGGGCCCACTGGTTGTTGGCGCTCTCCTCCCGTGGTAGCCGGCTCCTCTCCCGCTCTTTCCTGCGTTTGCGGGTCCACCACACGCAGATGACCACGCACGCCAGACACAGCACGCTGAACACACCACACAGCACTGGCACCAGCAGGCCTGGGGGGCACGAGCAGGTTGGCCGGGTGCGGGGACCCGGCACACGCCCAGGCCTGGGATGCCCGTCCTTTGGCTCCTGCCTGAGGGGGAGGGACCCAGGGGAGGGGCTGGGACAGCAGGTGCAGGGGGCAGCCACCGAGAGGGGGCGGGGCCCAGGAACGGGCAGCCCCCGCCACCTGCGCTCAGCCTGGCCCCGTCCCTCTGAGCCACGTGTGCGGGAACGAGTCCCACTAGGCCCAGGCCCCCTCGCTCACCCACGGAAGAGCTGCCCACGACGACCGTCTCCACTTTGACCTCGGTGACCGCCAAGAACAGCGAGCTGTTGCCCCGCTGGGTGATGGCTGCCACGATGGCGTGCGCGGCGCTCTGGACCAGGCTGCTGTCGGGCAGGTCCTTCGCGGGGCTGAAGGACTGCAGGGGGAGACACCACAGAGAGGCCCCGCTCGCCACAGGCGCCAGCACGGCCTGCCCGCCCCATGCCCAGACCGGGGAGCGCCAAGGCTGGCGGCCAAGAGGGGTGCAGGTGGCTGGGGGCCCTGGGGCTTCTTGTGGGGGCACCGGCCGGAGGACAGGCCTGCAGCAGGCATGGCCCGGACCACGTGGCTCCGAGGGGGCGGGTGTGGCCTCGCCCACCCTCCCTCCGGACCACCTGCATCTGGGACCAGCACAGCTGTCCTTCCCAGGCAGGCGACCAGACCCACCGGCCGTGCCCGAGGACTCCAGGGTTCTGTCCACACATCCCTGGCCCCAGTACCTGCCCCTGCCTCCATGGCCTAACAAGCCAACGGCGGCAAGCGGCCGGCGCCCTGAGGAACCGCCCTGCCTTTTCTCCCCTCCCTCCCCTGCCACGCCCTACTACGTCCACCCTGGACCCCAGACCCTGGTCTTCCCTCTCCGCGCTGCCACTGAGCCTCAACCACAGACCCTGGGGGCCTCCCACAGCTCCAGAGACCCCTGCCCAGAGCCCTGGCCTCCACGGCCTCAGATTGTGGACGGGACGGGAGCCAAGTCCCGTGTCACAGCCACCACTCTGTCGACACTGCCTGCGACATCCCCGGCCTGCGAGCCGGCCCTGGGTGGCTCCTGGCACCTGTTCCTGCAGCTGGGCCTTGGCTCCGAGGACCCTGCCTCCCGGTACCTTCCCTCCACGCCCCTCACCTGCAGATCAGCTTTCCCTGCTCTCTGCCTGCTGCCCCGGACCTGTCTTTCATTATGGCAGACGGGACAGGTGACCTGACCCAGCCTGGCCCCACCAGCCCCGTGAGGGCACAGAGTGTCCCGGACCCCCAAAGTACAGGCACACAGGAACAAAGTCCTGGGTCCATGGGTCACCCTTTGCCTCCAACCACCTGGGGACAAGGCTGGCCTGGGCCTCTGTCCCCAGCACCTCCCAAGAAGAGAGATAGAACGGGACTCTGGAAAAGGGACGCGGGCAGAAGTGACGAGCCGTTCGCCTAGTACTCACCACAGCCACCTCCACTGTGCTGGCCCCTGAGGACGGCCGGTCACAGAGCAGCACGAGCAGGCGGTCCCGGGCCACTGCCCTTGTGGCTGGCAGGGCGCGGATCCCAGAGCAGATAGCGCCCACGGTGGTGCCCTGCGTGGGGACAAGCAGCACGTGAGTGGGGTCCTGGGGACACGGACCCGAGGCGGCCCATCCTCCTGCTGGCCCCACAGGCACATGGCAGGTCACACCTTGGGCCCCATGAGGAGCAGGCCAGGGATCGGGGGTCCAGGAGGGAGCTGACTTCCTAGCCCACCCAGCAAGCAGACCGCCAGCCCAAGTCAGGGTGGGTGAGGCCTGGCGGTGCCCCCATGGCCCCATCCTCCTTCCCTGCTAGAAGGGGAGCTACCTGCAGGCCCGAGGCGGGAGGGGGTCTCGCCTGGTCCTCAGCCCTCCTCCCCAGACCCCAAGTGCACACGGGGCTCAACCCTCCCTCCTCTGGACCCCACAGGCCCCGACTCCCTGTGCGGCCCTTCGGGCCCTCTGAGAAAGGCTGGCGGTGCTGGGGGGCTGCAGCCGGTCAGTGTGCCCGCCCTCCGGGACCACTCACCTGGGGCACTTGGTCACGGTTGAAGTGCAACGTGAGGCGGGCACAGTTGTTGTCCAGGTGGCTGGAGTGCGGCAGGCACAGGGTGCTGGGCAGCAGGGGCTCCTCGGTGCCACACTCCCCCCAGGCTGCACACGGTGGCTGCAGGCACTGGCCTGGGGCCTTCTCTAGGCACCGCTGCCCTGGCGGGCACTGGGCACTCAAGGTGTCAGGCCGGCCAGCCAGCAGGCAAGGCCTGCGCCCACACCACACCTGGGTCAGGCACGTACACAGGACAGACGCAGGTGCACAGACAACACGGGCACCGTGCAGGAGAGAGAGACACGGCTGCGGTCGGCAAGGCCCAGGGTGCCCTGCCCCACCACAGCCTCCCAGGATGGACTCAGAATAAGGACGGGCCTGCCCCGGAGCAGGGGGTGCCCCAAGAAGGAAGAGACCAGGCAGAGCCCCCAGCTCTGTCTCCCCGTCTCCCCAGCTGCATGAGAGGAAGGGCCTGCCCCGAGCATCCCTCCCAGCAGGCCCAGCGGAGGGGGTGGATGCGGCTCCCCACAGCCCCCCAGCGGTAGCCCCCGGGGCTCCCAGGCAAGGGGGAGGCTCACGGGCGACACCCATACCTTGCTGCAGTCCCGGCGGCCGTCCACACAGTGGCAACCGTTACAGTCCTCCACCCAGGAGCTCCCGTGCGCGAAGGGCACCCCCTGTGACCAGCAGGGCCTCCCAAATCCAATCACTGTGGGGAGAGGCGTTGGGGGCAACTGCAGGCCGGGCCCAGAGGCCAGGTCCTCCCCATGCCCCTGGTGGCATGGTCCCCCGGGGCCGGTGCCCTCCACCTACCATCCTGGCACCGTGGGCCGGCCCTGCCCGGCGGGCAGCTGCAGTGATAGCCGTCGATCTCGTCCACGCACGTGGCCCCGTAGGCGCAAGGCGAGGACTGGCACTCGTCGATGTCTGCGAAGAAAGTGGCGGCTCAGGAGGCCGTGAGGGGGGCCAGTGCCCTCACGCGGGGCCCAGGAGGATGCTCAGGCCAGCATAGGAGGCCGTTCAAGTGGTGGAGACCCCGCCAGCCCCGGTCTCGACCAGTGTGCCCCTCGGGGACTCTGCCAGTGGTCAAGGGCATTGACGAGCGCCTGCCCCGTCCTCCTGCACACGCCTCTGGCACGGGGTGTGCCGGGAGACCCCGGGGACCACCGCCGTCACAGGGCCGCCCCAGCTGTGCAGAGGGACCGGGTGGGCTGGGCCCAGCCCCTCCCACCCCAGGACCCCCCAGGGCCCCTCACTGATGCGGCAGTCGGGACCCGCGAAGCCGGGCGCACACTCGCAGCGAAACCAGTTGATGCCGTCCACACAGACGCCGCCGTTGTAGCTGCGGGGCAGAGAGCAGGTCTCAGGGAGGCCCCCCGCAGGCCAAGCTCCCCGGGGTCAGCCGGCCTCCGGGGCAGCCACTCACCAAGGCAGGGGGCTGCAGTCATTCGTGTCTGCGCAAGAAGAGAGAGGAAGGTCGGCAACAGCTCCGCCGGCCCCGCACCCCAGCCAGGCCTGCGCACACCGTCCGTGCCAGCCCGCTGACACGGGACGGGGAGGCTGAGGGCGGTGGGGCCTGGGCCAGCTAGCTCCAGGAGGACGTGTCACTTTGGCAGACAGCTGCGAGGAGCGGGTCTAGGGGCCGGGTCATGAGGCCCGGGCTCCCACCCCCCGGCTGTCGCCACCCCCCAGGGCCTCCCTCTGCAGCCCCCCACCCACAAGCTCACTGTGCGTGCAGGTGCGGCCCTCCCAGCCGTCCCGGCAGATGCAGGAGAACGAGTCCCCGCTGCCCACGCACGTGCCCCCGTTCACGCAGGGGTTGGGCAGGCAGCTGCTATTCTGGGCTGTGAAGGGGAGAGGGGAGAAGGGGGCCTTGTCGTCTGCCCGTGGGCCTGCGTGGAGCCTCTGTTGCAGATCCCAAGGTGCCAGGGCAGACGGGACCAGGGGCAGGAGGCTGGGCAGGTGGTCGTGGGGCGCGGTTGGGGGAGTGTGATGCCTGACCTGCCTCCCCCGCCCGTTCACCCACCGATGTTGCAAGTGCTGCCCTTCCAGCCCGGGGCGCAGGCACAGCGGAAGGTGTCCCCGCTGTCATAGCACGTGCCGCCGTTGCTGCAGGTGTAGGCATCGCACTGGAACTCGCCTGTGGGCACATGGCTGCTCAGTGCGCATGCCGGCGGCGGCGGCGCCCCAGTGCGCCAGGGGCCCAGGGGCACTCACGCGAGTGGCAGGTCTTGCCCTTCCAGCCGTCGTCGCACGCGCAGTAGAAGTCGTTGACCAGGTCGAAGCAGCGGCCGCGGCTGTGGCAGGGATCGGGAAGGCAGTCGTTGGGATCTGGGGGCGAGGACGCCGGTCAGCGGGGGTCGCCGGCGCTCAGGGGGGGGGTTGGGGGGTGGGGGCAGGGGAGAGCAAGAGAGGCGGGGCCAGAGACACCTGCAGGGCACCCCCCCACCCCGTCCAGGTCCCTTTCGGGCGCCAACTACCCAGAGCCAGGACCCACTGGGCACGGGACCCACCGGACGGCGCGGGCCCACTCACTGGTGTCGCAGAGCTCGCCCTCCCAGCCGCTGGGGCAGAAGCAGCGGAAGGCGTCCACCTCGTCGATGCACGTGCCCCCGTTGCGGCACGGCTGCCCCAGACAGTCGTCGATGTCTGCGGGGGTGGGCGGGCGGTGAGCAGGGGGTCCCGGGGCCCGCCCCGCCCCGCCCCGCCCTGCCCCGCCCTGGCCCGCGGCCACTCACTCTCATGGCAGTAGGCGCCCGTGAAGCCGCTGTCGCAGGCGCAGGAGAAGTTGCCCCCGGGAAGGCTCACGCAGCGCCCGTGCGGGCCACACACGCCGGGCGCCAGGCCGGCCGCCCCGGGCCCCGCCTCCAGCCCGCAGCCGTCAATCACTGCGCACACGGGGCGCGGTCAGGGCGCCCAGGTCGCCCCGCACCCGGCCCGACCCCACCCCAAAGGCAGGGGTCTGGCCTCGGGCGCCACCCCGCCCCCGACGCCAGCCCCGGCTGCGGGCCCCGCCCACCCCGCGGGCCCCGCCCACCCCGCGGGCCCCGCCCACCTCTGCAGGCCCCGCCCGGGCACGGCTCCCTGGGCACCGAGCAGTTCTTGCCGCCCATGTCGTCGGGGCACGCGCAGTAATAGTCGCCCTCCAGGCTGTAGCAGCGGGCCCCGTTCTGGCAGGGGCTGGGCTCGCACAAGTCCGTGTCTACCTGTGGGGCGGGAGCGTCCGTGAGGGCCCAGTCCCCCGCCTCGCCTGCGGTCCCTACGAGGACTCCTGGAGGCCCGGGGCCCGGGCTCCGCCGGCACACCCAGGCCTCTGCCGCCAGAGCCTGCAGGACCGCCCATCCGAGACTGTCCAGGCCCATCAGCTGGACGGAAACACCTGCAGGTCACCAGGCCCCTCCCACCACCCTCTGCTCCGAGGCGGCCCCGCTTCCTCTGGCTCACCAGGCAGCATCCGGCCTTTGCCCCTCCTGCTGGCAGGAAAGCCGGCTCCTTACCCCCTCCCCAACCAGCACAGCCGCCCTGGGCCCAGCATGCGGGGCTTTCCCAAAAGTGTCACCACCGGCTCCACGGCTGGGGGAGGAACTTCTACCAAGGGCCCCAGGAAGCCTGTTGGTCAGGAGCCCTGCCCCTGGTGTCCTGTACCCCCAAAGGCCAGGGCAGGTCAAAGAAAGGTGGGGCTGTGAGGCGCCAAGGAGGAGGGACACACCCACCCTCAGGCACCCCGTCCCACCCCAGGGCCCCTCTCTGACGCTGCTCCCGTGCTCTACTGCATCAAGACCGTTCCGGCCACCTGGGCAGCCAGCCCACCCCAGCAGGAGGCACTTGTCATGACGAGAGTGACCTTCTGACCCCCTGCCCCCGCTCACCCGCGGCTCTGGGGCCGGGTCTCCATCCAGAACGGAGCCCAGGATCTCTGTATGGCCGACCCCACCTGCAGGCTGTCCCGCTCACTGGGGTGGCCTGGGGATGACGCTGTGCCCTGCAGCTCCTGGGGCCGCAGCCTGGGCCTCACCTCGCACAGTGGCCCGGAGGTGCCCTTGGGGCAGTGGCAGCGGAAGCCATCCACCAGGTCCTCACAGAGGCCTCCACGACAGGGGTCGCTGGCACACGCGTTCAGCCGCACCTCGCAGTGCCGGCCAGCAAAGCCCCGCGGGCACACACACTGGTAGCCGGTGGTCAGGTCCTGGCGCAGGGGGAGGAAAGGTGGGGGACGGGGAAGGGGGTGGGGAGAAGGTGGGTGAGCTTCCAGAGGCCACCCTCCCACCCCAGGGGCAGCACCCACCCCGTGGCCCTCCCCCACGCGGGCAGGGCAGGGGGACTGCATCTTACCTTGCAGGTGCCACCATGCTGACACTGCCCACGACAGTCGTTGATGTCTGGGGACAAGGGGCGGGGTCACAAAGGGGTCCTTGCGCCGCCCAGCCCCACCCCCTGCCACCACCCCCCCCATACTGACGGATATGGCAGTTGACGCCCTTCCAGCCCGGAATGCAATCACAGTAATAGCCACCAATCAGGTTTTTGCAAGAAAAAGCATTAAGGCACGGCTTCCCGTCACATTCATTGGCGTCTGCAGAGGAGAAGGGGGGGCGATGGGGCTCAGCGCCCCCTGCTCGCACACCTGGCGCCCACAGCCCCAGCAGCCCCAGCAGCAGCAGCAGCAAGCATGCCCGCAGCACACAGGCCATGCACGCGCCAGCCCCGCAGGACCCTTACCCAGCTGGCAGGTGGCCCCCACCCACTGCTCGGGGCAGACGCACTCGAAGCCGTCCACCTGGTCCACGCAGGTGCCTCCCGCCGCGCAGGGGTTGGAGGCGCACTCGTCGACATCTGTGCAGGGACAGAGGGAGAGGCGTGGGGGCTGGGCTGCGGGGAAGGCGGCCGTGGGCCTGTCCCTCCTCCCCGGACTATCAGGCATCAACCACCCTGCCCTATCCTGGCTCCCAGAGGCCAGTCCGGAGCCCCCCATCTCGTGCGAGTGGGCACTCACCAAGCGCACAGGTGGGCCCGCTCCAGCCTGACGGGCAGCGGCACTCGAACCCGGAGGGCGCCTCGTGACAAGAGCCCCCGTTAGCACATGGGTTGGAGACGCAGGCGTGCTCAGCTGCATGGGAACCAGAGGCGGGGGCAGGGGTTGGGCGTGTGGAGCCCCGGCTCCCCACCTTTCCCGAGGCCCCAGGGTGGGGGTCAGGGAGGGCCTCCCACACCAAGAGGCCAGAGGCACAGGGCTCCCCAGGCTGGCCAGCTGCCAGCCCAAAGCCAGCAGCCGGTGGCCGACGTACCCCGCTCACAGTTCTTGCCCGAGTAGCCGTCAGGGCAGGCGCAGTGGTACTGGTCGGGCTCGGCGTTGATGCACGTGCCCCCGTTGACGCAAGGGTGGTGGCTGCCACAGTAGTTGAGGTCTGGGGGCGAGGCAGGGTCCTCAGAGGCCCGCCTGCCCCCCGCCGCCCGCCTTCCCCACGGGGCATCGCGCTCGGGCCTGGCCGGCCGCCGCTACCTTTGTTACAGAGCAGGCCGCCCCAGTTGGTCTCGCAGTTGCACTGCCAGGGGTCCACGCAGCTGCCGTGCACACAGCCGGGGTACGGGACACACTCGTCACAGAACCGCCCCTGCCAGCCGTAGCTGCACCTGCGGGAGGCCGGGAGTGTGAGGCCCGAGGCGGTGGAGGAGGCTCCAGGCTGGCTCTGGACGCAGGCGCAGAGTTTCACGGGCCACCCCCAGGGCTGGCGGCCCCAGCCTTTGAAGCGGAGCAGGCCCCGGGCCAGGTGGGGGTGACGGCACCCTCATGGGCACTTCCCGGCCTCTGGCCTCGGATGGCCGGCCGCAGCTGCCCAGCCACTCCTCCCTGAGCTATTTCGGGCCTCACCCTGGAGCAGGGCCCCAAGAGCAAGCGCCAAGAAAGGCAGGCCCCGCCGGGACCCCAGGAACGGGCGTGCCAGCTCCAGCTCGCCAGGTGCCACCGGCTGGGTCGCACCCGGAGCCAGGCAGGACGGTGGGACGTCAGGAGAGGGCTCCGGGCTCAGCCCCGGCTCTGAGACCTCAGGCACCGTGTGCGACCTCACCTGGAACTCAAGGACAGGAACTCTCTCCCCATGGATCCCTATCAGGGCCCCACCTCACAGATGGGGACACGGAGGCCCATAGCAAGTGCCCCACATGGGGCCGCTCCTGACCCAGGAAGAGTCACCCGTCCCTGGCAAATGGCCTAGAGAGGCTGCTTGGCTCCAAAGCCACGACCCCAAGGCCTGGCCCTGCCTCCAGCAATGGGCCAAGACTCTCTCTGGGAAGTCCTTCATGAGGAGAGACAGTCGGCTGGGGCACAAAGGGCACCCAGGCTACTCATGCAGGTCCCACTCCCAGTGGGGCAGGCCTTCCAAGGGCCCAGAGCTCAGCCTGACTCGGGGGCACTGCTGTCCATCGTCCTGCAGCAGACTCCCTGGGGACCAGGAGGCTGCCCTCCAGGCCCTGGACAGGCCCCCTCCTGGGGACCCCCTTCCTAGAACCAGAAGGTGCTGAGGAAAGCAAGTCTCTCGCAAAGTCCCTTCCATGCCGCCACCTGCCGCGCGAGCTTCCTTCTGTGAGGAGGGAGCCAACAGCCCCTTCCTGGGCTGCCCCGAGCCCCACGGCCAAGGGCTGCGGCCAGGCTCAGCGGCAGGCCACAGGGAAGCCCAGACTGGAACACGGGGCTCCAGTATCCCGCCCAGACGTGCCCAGAGGGCCCCAGGGCACAAGAGCTGCACATCCCCCAGGGAACCCGCCCTCCAGGTGCTGTGAGGAACCCATGGCTGGGTCACCCACCAGGACACCATGAGGCCAAGCACAGCAACCAGACCCCCGTGGGCCCTGAGGATGTGCTCTCAGCCCTGGGTGGGGCAGCCCTCACCAGCCGCCGCCCCCCCCCCCCCAGCTTCCCTGGCCTGTGGCTCCAGAAGCCCAGGGAGGAGGCGGCAGGAAGGCAGGCCCATCTCCGCAGCAGCATCCGGTGGGGGGTGTCCGGTCCTGAAACCTGAGCCCTGAGCCACCCGTGGCAGCTGGGCCTCCCCCACCGAGTGGGCGGGACACACCTATGGCTCCTGGGGCCCTGAGCAGCAGGGGGAAGGGGAGCCAGGAGAGCCGCCTCCCTCCCACCTCCCTCCCGCCCTGGCTGCTTAGGCCCAGCATGAGGGAGGTGCAGGCACTCGGGGCAGCAGGCCACAGTGTGCCGCCTGGGACCCAGCCCCGCAGTGCTCACCGCCCGGGGACCTGACCCCCTGGCCCCAGCTGTCCAGAGTCCCCAGGCTCACGCCCGTGACACAAATCAGAGAGCGAGGCTGCAAGGTATGGCTCTGTTCCAGGCAGCCACCCAGGCTGGTACCCTCCTGTGCCACCCAGGGTTGACGCCTGGGTGTGCGTGCCCCCCAAGACATGAAGCAGCCCTGGGCCAGGCTCCTACCCACCAGGGGCCCCCTTACCCCGGCCGTGCTCCCTGCACCACCCAGAGGCCCACTCACTGTGTGAGATACGTACGGGGGCCGAGTCGGGGAGCCCTCCCCAACTTCCAAACTCTGCCCTCGCAGGGGAAGCCTGCCTCTGCCTCCCTGCCCTGGGGCCGGCCGGGCGGCTCCTCGTGCCACCTCCCGGGCCAGAGCCACCACAAGACACACAGAGGGGTCCCCACCCCTCCCTTCCTGTCTCCTGAGCTGGCCAGCTCCCAAACCAGCACGAGCTGCCCCCGGACAAGTTACTTGGGCTCACTGTCCTTGCCGGGAGACACTCAGGACAGCAACCCACCCCCCAGGGTGAGGTTCTGGGGCCCACGAGCCCCCTGCTGGGGCAGCGCTTCCCTCGCACCCGCCCCAGCTCCGCGACAGGTTGCAGCCACTCCAAAGGACTCGCTGAGAGCCTCCACCTGGTCCCCCGGCCCCCAGGCCGTCCTTGTGCATCCCTGGAGCCCACCCTGGCTCTCACACCGCCCGGCACCTCCAGCTGCCCTGCTCCCCTGTCCCCAACATGGGCAACAAGCTTACCCGCAGCTCCCGTTCCTCCCACTGCCCCCCACCCAGGCCCTGCTCAAGGTCTGCAGCGGTTCCCTGCCTATAGGAGACATCCAGACCTCTCGCTCTCCAGGTGCCCTGACCAGCACCCCGTCCATCTTATCTTCTGGATCCCCATGACCCCTGCCCATCCCGTGTCCTCTCCCGGTGACGCCACGACTCCCAGCTCATCCTGTGTCCTCTCCCAGTGTCCCTACGCCCCCCAGCCAGTCCCTGTCCTCTCCCCATGACCCCACGACCCCCGGCCCATCCTCTGTCATCTCCCCGTGACCCTATGACCCCCAACCTATCCTGTGTCCTTTCCTGCTGTCCTTATGACCCCCAGCTGGTCCCTATCCTCTCCCCATGACCCTGCGACCCCTGGCCCATCCTGTGTCTTCTCCCAGTGTCCCTACGACCCCCCAGCCCATCCCTGTGCTCTCCCCATGACCCCACGACCCCCGGCCCATCCTCTGTCATCTCCCGTGACCCCACAACCCCCAGCCTGTCCCATGTCCTCTCCCCTGACCCCACGACCCCCAG